TTTAAAAAAAAGTTTCATCAAATACTGTGCCCCAATTTTATCCAAAAAAGTAATGTGATTACTTCAATCACCAACCATATTACAAGATTCTGTCTAAAAAGCATTGATAGTGCACTTACAACCCATATTACTAATAATAGGAAAAGTACTGATACTGCACTTAAAACCCATAGTGCAACTACTACAACAGCATACTTAAACATAAAAGTTTTTTAAACTTGGTTACATATCCCATGGCAATGCTCAGCCCTCCTGGTCAGCCCGGTTAGCCCTCTTGTTTGCATATAACAACACTTCTGTTGCAAATTTTTTCCTGAAAGTCCCAATGCCTGCAACATCCACTTCATCCACTTCCATCCCCATGATTAGATGCTCAACCATCTTTACAACGAATATGCCACAGCTCACCCTGCATATTATTACGTACATTGGACATTATGGTGCTTTAAGTATATTACATGTTATTAGGTACCTAGAAAGGATATTTATAACATCTACGAACTTACGCGTCCTGTTGTTGTGGGCAATCATTTACGTTCACAATGCCTAGCACATCATCTCCCATCTCAGGCATTTTCCGCTCCTTGTACACTTCCAGTTTGTCCATCACCTTTGGCAGTAAGATCTGTAGACATGGAAGGTATGGTTTTGTGTGGCGACTGGTCTTCCCCTTGCTGTTAGAATCATACAGCCTGATGCATTTATTTGATATGTCAAGCACAGCCAGTATCCAATGGTTTCCAGTGTTGATTGGCATGTAAACGTAATCACATTCTGCCCAGCGTCCTCCCAATTCTGGCACAGCCCCTACAATTGGTTTCAGTATTGAAGTGTTGAATGCTGCTTCAGCAATGGTTTTCCTTTTCCCCAAATAGTTGTCATATTCTCTCTTCAATAGACTGACAAATAGGCTGTCTGTTACTGCAAATGGCTGTGTCAATCCATATTCTTGTGCTTTCATGACCATGAATTTCAAGGCTACAGTTACATGCTGTAATTGATAAAGCATTGTAAGTCATTAGTATATTTAAAAAACCATAACCATATTTTTATAATCGTTTAATAAAATGTGTATGTTCATACTTACCACATCATTCATCCACTCATCAGGGTAGAAAAATCCATAGTACCATGTTTTTGTCATTGTTTCGTCATGCCCCCACAGTGGCCGAAATTCGTCAGGGTTTAAAGCATTTTCCTGGCTTGTGTACTTTGTGCCATTTGCTTTTTTCTTCTTGCTTAGCAGACCTTGTGCTAAAAACAACTCCACATTCTCAGCAGTTAATGCTAATTTAAGCCCTTCGGGATGACTTTCTGCCATGCCAGCTTCGGCCTCCACATTGTTGGGTTGCGAATTGCCATCACCACCATCTGTGGCTTTCTGTTTAGATGTCTGTGGTCCTTGTCTGCTCTTTGCCTTTCTTGTCTTTAATTTTTTGTCAGAATGAGTAAACTTATCTGGGCATTTGACAACCCTCTTCTGCCTTGTAGTGTCTTCTGGTTGGTCAATGGCAATATCCTTAATGTGTTGTTCTTCAGCATCAGGGCCTTCTGCTTGTTCATCCTGAATGTCCTCAAGTTGACCAACATTGAGCGGTGGTTCAACATCTATACCATCACTGGGATCATCATTGAGGACTTGTTGTGGTTCAGTGGGAATATCATTGAGGATTTGTGGTTGTTTAGTTGGAATATCAGTGAGGACTTGGCGTGGTTCAATGGGAACAACATTGGGCATTTGTGGTGGTTCATTGGGAATATCATTGACGATTTGTGGTGGTTCAGTGGGAATATCAGTGGGGACTTGTTCAGTGGCAAGGAATCCACCAAAGGTTGCAGAGGGTATCATCAGTTATTTGTTTGCCATTGAACAAGTCCCCACTGATATTCCCACTGAACCACCACAAATCGTCAATGATATTCCCAATGAACCAAAATGCCAATGATACTCTCCATTTTGTGATGCTGTGATGCTGTTTCCACATTGTCAATGATACTCTCCATTTTTTGGCCTTCCTCCAAACCATCTTCCATCACCTATGGCATGATTTATCTCTTAGTATGTAATTTCAACTCCAATTGCAACCATTTTATTAAAAATAATCATGTAGCTTTGCATTATATGTTTTAGTACGTACCTGCTGGTCAATGACTTTATTGTCAATGCCTTTCTAGTCATTGATTTTATGTAATGTTCCCAAATAAGCTTCAACCACGTGCATAGTTTCCTGTGTCATCAAGATGAACAATTAAATATGGTCATTGTCAGGATGTTAATTGCTAAAAATTTATGTGTCAAACCTGGAAATTGTGATCAGTGTTTGCCTCAGTCAACAACCCATTCATCCAATGAATGTCCATGTCTTCTCCCTTCTCCTTTACACAGTCTCCAGTCTTATCTTGTTCCAAATTTTGACCTTCCTTTTTATGAGCAGTCTGTGGTGTACAATGTAGATCAATGCCTAAATCAAAACTTGGAAACTGGGTGTCTTTCTTGCTGGATTCCTTACTCTGTGTTTTCCCCAAAATGCCAGCATTTTTCAGGCATTCCTCAACCAATCCCCATTGTTTCTGGTTTTCCTTTCTNAGTCTTATCTTGTTCCAAATTTTGACCTTCCTTTTTATGAGCAGTCTGTGGTGTACAATGTAGATCAATGCCTAAATCAAAACTTGGAAACTGGGTGTCTTTCTTGCTGGATTCCTTACTCTGTGTTTTCCCCAAAATGCCAGCATTTTTCAGGCATTCCTCAACCAATCCCCATTGTTTCTGGTTTTCCTTTCTCAACTCTTGTATCTCACTTAACACTTTTCTATTGTTCTTTGCCATGTTAGCTGCTATACTCTTCACCATTTTCTCCAAAGATTTTATTTTGTTCAATGTTTCATTCTTACATTTCTCATCTCTGGCACCATTCTTCTCTAAAATGATTTGAGGACTGTGTGTTTTGGATGTCTTTTTAAGATTCATTTTTGTCTTCTCGGGGCTTTTCCCTTTTTGGATGCATTGCTCGACGCTTTTCCTCTTTCTGGTGTTTGGTGTAGCATGTAAAGCATCCCCATGTTCACTCACAACAGCTGTTTCTGGAGTTGTCATCTTTAGTATCCGAAGAGATAGGCGGTTCCTGGCTTTTTTGAGAATGACTTTTCCTTCATCAGATATTACCATCTCTGTCCACTCAAACTGCAAATCAAAACAATTGCATATTATTATTCAATGCAAATTTAATTTTGATAAAAAAATACAATATTATATACAACAGTACCCCACACATCTCTTTTGTTTTTTAAGTTTTACCTTTTCATTTTTGAATATTTTCTTCTCCAACAACTCTTTGGTTGTCCTCCCGTCCGCTGACCATCTCAATGCCCTTGGCCATGATGTCTTCTTTCCTTCGTCCAGTATACATTCCTTCTCTTGTATTAGTGCTGGAAATGTTTCATATGCCCATATCTGTAAAGCGAAATGGAATCCAGGGAAATTGAACCTTGGTTTCTTGCTTGTATTCATAATACAACAGCATTTCCGAACATTCTCTACCAGATCTTTCCACACATCTTCTCCCCATGGATACTCATTAAACTTGGATAAATCATCGACCAAGTGGAGATCTAGTCCAGGGAGTTTAATACTTGGCTGGTTACCAATTATACAGGTCCCTAACATTAATAGGAGTCCCAACTTCACTGCATCTAAAGCTTCTCTATTTTTATTTTTCTTGACTCTCTCAAATTCAATCTTCACATCCTCTCTTGTCACATTCATTTGACCATTGAAGTATCTTTTACTTATGTCACTTGGTTCGGTATAATTCTCCATTTTTTCACTGCTGCTCCCAAACCTAAAACCACTCACCTCTTGGAAGTCTTTCTTTGTGAATTTGATCAGTCTGCCACAAATGGAAAATGAAATTTCTTCAGAGGCGTGCAGTCTGTCCATCGTCTCTACATGATTGAGTGTGAGAAGAATCATAAGTTGGCCATTAACATATTTCAATTCTCCAATGTCTAACCAATATCCAAAGGCAGTCTTTTGAAATTCACTTAGTTCGTCTTTTGAAAGCATTTCTTTCAACTTCTTAACCCCATTACCAACATTGCAGTATGAATTGATTTTAGCTTCAGTTTTTGTATCCAGTAGATTCGGCTTACATAGGCGTTTATAGACCTGTCACATTAAACAAAATTCTGTTCACTTCATTTCCAAAACACAATACAGATTGCATTAGAAAGTATTTTACGTTTTCATTCAAATGCCTTAGAGGACATTAATACACCAATTTCACTGCACAGTAACATCCGCTTGACTTTATGCTTCTCTTAAGCAATCAAAATTTTATGGCCCAATCAAAAATGTCATTATATTCATTTTAAGACTTAACAGGACATTCATTAACTAACCAAAGACACTGTCTCATCATCCACAAATATCATTATATTAATTCAAATGCCTAACATGCATTAATACGCCAACGGAACACATAGTCTCATATTTTGTAATAATCCAGGCAGACATTATCAGACATTATTCTTATTAATAGACATTAGTAGACAGTAATACGCTAACAGAACACATATTCTCATGATTTGTAATAATTCAGGTAGACATTATTCTTATTAATAGACGAGTAGACAGTAATACGCCAACGGAACATAGTCTCATAATTTGTAATAATCCAGGTAGACATTATCAGACTTTTCCTATTACACACAACCACAATTGAATTGTTCAAAGCACAAATTCATCTGCTGGATTTATGATTCTCTTAAGCCTTCAAAACTTATATCTCAATGAAAAATTGTAATAATTAGACATTAATAAAACCGAGTAGACAGTAATTAGACCAAGTAGACATTAATAGACGATATTGTAGACATGCTCAGTCGAAAACTCACAACTATTGGCTTCAATCAACAATAACAGAATGCATGCCTTCAATGAATTTCATAAAGTTCAATTCATGTTCATCAATTTGAAATTGTAAAATTCAGAGCTTACGAGTCCGTTAGGCATTGTCAGAAGCATATCATCGGATTCCCTCGTCACAAAATCGCTGTCTTCGCTTTCACCTTTCTTAGACGCCATTGTTACCTTCATGGAAGCCATTGATATCGCTTTCCTAGACTCGCGAGCTCTCTCATTGTTTTAGTACCATATTTGGAATTTTCTCTAGTCAGATTTGAAAGTTTAACCGAATCTGAATCATCTACTCTTGCATCAAGTGTGGGTTTTGGTAATCGGTTATTCGATGGACTAAATAAACTATATAAACTATATATATATATATATATATATATATAGAGAGTTAAGTGCACCGTTTACCCCGTACTCTTTAAAAATATCATATATTACGCCTGAACTTTAAAAAGTGCACCGATTACCCTCGAACTCTTCGAAAATTGCACGATTTACCCCTGCACTCTAAAAAATGTCCCAAATACCCTTAATCAAATTAAAATGTTGCATCGTTGGTCCTAAACTATTAGATAGGGAGTGCGTTGCTTCCACGCACAAGAATTGCGAATATGATTAATCTGACCCATGTGAATTTTCCAAAGTACCTTTACCCAAAATTGTTGTCTTTATTTAAATGTTCAGGAGTAAACAGTACAATTTTTGAAGAGTTCAGGAGTATTTGGTGCATTTTTTATTGCTCAGGGATAAATCGTGCAATTTCTAAAGAATTCAAGGGTATTTGGTGCACTTTTTAATGTTCGGGGGTAAACTATGCAATATTCAAAAAATTCGAGGGTAAACAGTGCACTTAACTATATATATATATATATATATATATATATATATATATATATATATATATATATATATATATATATATATATGGGATTGACTCCAATCAGATGACATCTTTCGGTCAGATGACACTTTCGATCAGATGACATGCTTCAAAATGAGCACCACCTTGTTTGAGAATGAGCACCGCCTTATTTCAGAATGAACACTACACTGATCAGACTGTGAATGAGTACTAGGTTGTTTCAGAATGAGTACTATGTTTATAATGATTAAATGTGTGAAAGTCAACCCTACGATGTCTTAGAATGAACACTACGTGGATTCAAAATGAACCCTATGTTGTCGTCTCGCTGGCTATGAATGAACACTACATTGTGATGAACAGTTGTGTGAGAATGAATTCTACGTTGTTTAAGAATGAGCGCTACATTGATTAAGAATGAGCATTCGTTGTCATCTGACCGAAAGTGTCATCTTACTGAAACATGTCATCTGATTGGAGTCAATCCCTATATATATATATATATATATATATATATATATATATATATGGGATTGACTCAGTTCAGATGACATCTTTCAGTCAGATGACACTTTCGGTCAGATGACATGCTTCAGAATGAGCACCACCTTGTTTGAGAATGAGCACCACCTTATTTTAGAATGAACACTACACTGAGCAGATTGTGAATGAGTACTAGGTTGTTTCAGAATGAGTACTACGTTTATAATGAACAAACGTGTAAAAGTCAACCCTACGGTGTCTTAGAATGAACACTACGTGGATTTAAAATGAACTCTATGTTGTCGTCTCGCTGCTATGAATGAACACTACATTGTGATGAACAGTTGTGTGAGAATGAATCCTACGTTGTTTAAGAATGAGCGCTACATGGATTCAGAATGAGCATTCGTTGTCATCTGACCGAAAGTGTCATCTGACCGAAACATGTCATCTGACTGGAGTGAATCCCTATATATATATATATATATATATATATATATATATATATATATATACTCCCTCCGTCAGGAAATATTCTTTACATTTGATTTTTCTTGGTCAATGTTTGTAAACTTTGACTACGATTTGTGGAAAAAACACATTGTATTATGATGTAAATTTAATATCAATATATTCATAATGATACGTAGTTTTTAAATATCAAATTTTTATAAAATATATTTATGTATAAATATAGATATTAATGGTCAAAGCGTAAAATTGGAGACCGTGAAAAGTCAAATGGGAAGAACATTTTCGGACGGAGGGAGTATATAGCCAATTAAAGTAATCGGAATTAGACCTAAAATGATTCCTAATAGAAAAGCTTCTATCATATAGACTTTATATGTAATTGATATGTAAAAAAAAAGCAAAAAGAGGTAATATGTGATATATACTAATAAAAATAGAGAATCATCTTCGTAATAATCAATAATGTAAAATACTATTACAATACCTGGAACCGAAATCTCAGACCCCAAATGCCTTTTCTTTTTTATTTATTGAAGAAGATTAAATAACTATTCTAGCATATTTACAGTATAGACGTGGTGATCAGTTGATATATATATATATATATATATATATATATATATATATATATATATATATATATATATATATATATATATATATATATGTATATATATATATACATACATACATACTGATAATTTGGATTAGGAAAAATAACAACAACAACAACAACCCAGTTGAATCCCACAACAGTAGGGTCTGCTAGGAAAAATAAAATAAAAATAATATAATGTAAAAAATGATTAAAAAGCTAATATTTTTGAAATAAAATAAAAAGAATTTAAAAATAAGAATTAAAATAAAACTAAGCTAAAACAACTAAAAATTAAAGACTAAAAATATTAAAAATACCTAAAATTAAATAAAAAGTACTAATCCAAAAATGACTTATCACATACATATATAATTTTTTTCTCTCTCTAGCCTTTCCTGCCGTAAGTTTATGCCGGCGACTTCCTCCGGGGAGGCTTCCGGCCACCCCCAGCTGCCAACCTTACCTTCCTCCTCCATCAACCCCTTCCCCTCCATCAACTCTTCTCTCTTCCCTGGACCAGCAAAGCTCGGGAAGAGCTATGCAGCAGCCACTGTTTCAGCAGCAAACAAGATCCCTCCCATTACTCTCACCCCACCCCCCAGGCAAGTGGATAAACACAAAGGAATTCCATGTATTGCCTTCACTAATGAAGAGGTATGTCTTCTTGCATCTAGATTTCCTAAGGCCTTGGTTGGATCTTTCTACTTTGGGAGACCTAGCCTTGAGTTCATTCGACAAAACCTGGAATGCATTGGATTCAAAGCTTTCTCTGTCACTCTCATTGACAATGCACACATCCTTCTTAACTTCTCTAACGAGGAGGAATATCATAGATGTTTCAAGCGTAGAGAATGGATGCTGGGTTCTTTTAAAATGATGATTTCAAAATGGACACCTTTCTTTGATCCTAAAGTTGAATCACCCATCCTTCTGGTCTGGATTTCTATTCATGATCTCCCTATACATTTCCATGCCAAAGAACCCCTACAGTATATTGCACAGATTTTTGGAACTCCAATCAAACTTGATGCCACAACAGAAAACTTTGGCAGTGGCGAGAATCTGTGTAGAGGTTGATATTTCTTTCTGAACCACAAATCAATAAGATTGTGGTTCAAAATGGAGATCAGCCTCTCTTTCTCAATGTTTCCTATGAAGATGTTCCATCTTACTGCCAGGACTGCAAGGGAGTCTCAAGACATAACTCAGATTGCAAGCACTTTTCAAAAACCCAAACCCCTCCCCTCAACAGCACTGGCCGGAATATTCTCCCCAAACCCAGAGATCAGCCTCATAATAACTACAACAAATATGCTGACAAAAGACCCATGGCAGAGGGGCCAAACCAGAAGAGCA